TTCCAATTATAAGAATTAGCAGCTAGTCATGGGATAATCTATTGGCAGCATTGCAGCACTGCAGTTATGTTAGCCTTTTAAAGAGTGAAACAGTGTGTGTGTTCTTGAGAACATGCTTTTCCTCCTATAAAATTCAAAAAGTAGAGGCTTTCATATATAGCAGTCTGCTGGTCTAGCAATGTCACCTCTTGTGTTTTTCAAAAGCATATTTTTGATTTTCAGCTACATAGAAAGGACATGTTTTATCACTGTCATTGTGTATCAGTCAAACTTTAGTACTGCTACAAGTGGATTTATGGTATGACATTATACCTCTGGACATGATATATTCTCCAGACATGATTTGCAGAAGTAATCTGTTGCAGTTCAATCAGTGAAACCTAAGTCAATTAGTCATCATACAACTACATATTAAGGATGATAATAAATTACAAGGGAAGTCATTAAAAAGTAGGAAATAAAAAGAATCAGTGTTGAGAGACTTATCACTGTTCTTTGTATCTCATTCTTGGACTCGTGTTTCCTGGCAATCTTTCCTCATGGAGAAGCAAGATGCAAATATCTTTAAGATACAATAGTGCTCAGTTAAAGGAAGATTTTCATAAGCAGGCAATTTTCTGTGCACAGATCTGTGCTCATATATAGAAAAAGTTGAAATTCGTTAAAGTTTGGGTATAGCAGCTTGCTAATGGTTGCATGTGGATCAGTCCCACATAAGACAACAGTAAATACTGAAATTTGACTGTTTTCAAACATAGGCTTGAGCACTCTGCCTGCCTTTACAGCACTCAGAAGGACTGCTTTACTTTGACCTGACATGTTTTCCCCATGCAGACATCGGCATAGCCTCATAAAGAGTTACTAAAATTCCTGGAGTTATTCTATTTAATGCTTCCCTCAAATTAAAGTTATTCAAAGATGTAAAAGAAAAGAAAACAAAAAGAATCTGTTTACAAGTTTGAATTTTCCAGTGAGCTCATATAAAAGCACCCTTTCTAGGAGGTTAGGGGTATTTTGATGAGAACTTTATCTCCCATTTTATTGTGCTTATCCTTAAAATGTGTCCTTCGAGATACAGATGTGCTCTTTATGTCCTCTTTTCATAGGAGAAATTGAAACACAAGAAGACAAAATGATTTGCCAAAGATCAACAGAATGTCTCTGGCAAATAAAAGAACTTGCTTTTCTTTTTTTCTTACATAGGAATAACCACAATACCACTTATTGCACAATGTTAGTAATTGTCTGGACCCAAGATAGAGTTAGATTATATGAAAGACAAAAAATTAGATTAAACTACTAGTGCCTTGTACATCTTCGGCATTTTAAATTTGGAGCTGTAATTTATTTTGAGAAGAATGTTCTTTTATAAATGGATTTTCCATCCCTTTTTAATCCTCGGATATTGTTTGGATCACCACACAGTTCTTCTGTCATGTTGTCTTTTTAACTGCATATATTGAATCCAGGCTGTCATTACCAATCAAGGAATTATTTGGGATTTTTCCCAAAATATTATTTTCTTTTCCTTAGTGGCAAGAGCCTCTCATTGCTGTGATTTAGGATATTGGCATTTCTTGAACTCAGCAGAACTGTCCCACTTCACACCAGCTAGAAATGTCACTGGTTATTACTGAAGAGTTTGTTCCAGATACTTTTGTCAGCAGGAGGTTGCAGCACCTTTGGTAAAATTCATGTAAAAATTACATTCTTGAAGTTTGGATAGTGAAGAACTGTTACTATCAAGTACATAAAAGCTTTGAAACAGAATATTACTTATTTAACCATTTGATTTCTTTAGTCTGCTACTATCATCATGCCCATGTTTGGAAGCATTGTGAGCTTTACATTTTTCTGCTTTGAATATCAAAACTCCTGCTGAATTTCATGGTGACAAAGACATAAATGTGATTTGGGCAGCATTTTCCACCAAGTTGTCCGTTGTTTACAGCAAACATGGAGTCACAGTTTCTCTTCGTGTCACTGCACTGCGGCATGGTGTAAGCATTCAGACTGAGTGCACACGCTTGATGAACAACCAGAATGAGAGGTTCTGGAGTGGAAGTAACATCACCTTTCCATGCCTGGTTCTGGTGGGATGCGAAGCTGCAGCTGGACAGGCTGCTGAAAGCTGGGCTCCATCCCAGTCCCTTGTCAGAGCACATTACTAAATAATACTAAATGAAGCAATACATAAGGCGTTAGGTGTTCTGTCCTATTCAATGTTCTGGTGCTTGTCCAAAAGATGACAAAATAAATTGGAGGCAGTCAAACTCTTTGGCTGTGAAAAACAGTTTGTAGTGCTGTCTCACTTGATAGGCCAGTGATTTAGGCAAGTAAGGCAACACAGCAAGAAAGCAGGCAAATCAAGGTTGGGAAGATTGAATTCCAGACTCTCAGCACAAAATCACCTCTTTTTTTCAAAATAAAATACATACTTTGAAGCTAAGTCATTAACTGAAATTGTACATTATGGATGTGAAGGATGAAACAGACATTTAGTTCATTGTGTCAGAAAGCCAAATCTGAATAGATTGGATAGGCTGATTATCTCCCTAAAAGAGCTATTCTGCATCTGTGAATCAAAGGTGAAAGGCACCTTAGCTTTCTATCTCAAGTATTCTGTTTTTTTTAATATTATCTGCTAGCAACTTTCTATCTATAAATCCCATCCAGTGATTTGAGAAGGAATCCAGAAATGATGTTTTTATTCTGAAACATCTTGAAATACAACTATCTTTCTCAGCCACCCTTCAGAGTTAAAACTAAAAACAAATAAATACTTATCCTTGAATGAAGCTTGTATATTACTTTCTGCAAGTAATAGTTCTCAAGTATTCAAAAATATGCAAAATGACAATAATTTACCACTTTTTATGTTATATTTTGTGCTACCCTTACTTCCTGAAAGAAATTAAAGAATATTGCCTTGATCTTGTCGCAATCAAAAGGTGAGTAATTTTTAAGCTATTAATGCTTTAAAAACAATTTAAAAGACATCTCTTGCCCCATTGGATGGACTAAGACTTCTGCTTTTTCAGTTTTTTCTCCTGGATCTTCCTGCAAGCTCTCCAATCAGCATATCATTTGAGATCATATGGCTGCTCACTACAAGAAACTGTCTGCCAAATGTATGTTCACTCTTCAGTGATGATTCTATCCATGCAGTTGAAAGATAAAATCACATTCCAGGGTATGTTGATTGCCCTTTACTTTTGACTACCTGATAAATTTCTTCCCCCTTCTTTGCTCACTCTCACCTTCATTAACTCAAGAGATGTAGCAGAATTTAAAGCTGAGACATAACACGGCATGCTGTAAAAGAGGAGATATGTAGACCACTTGATTGGAACCTTGCTTTAGGAGAAACAACCCCAGCTGTTAAGAGGTGTGAAGTATGCATAGTCAAATCATTCTACTAAAATGACAAGTTAATTTCAGCAAGAGAAAAATTATTTAATTCTCTGCATGTACATTAATAGTGTTTTCTTTTTAGATGTATATGTCAGTCGAAATAATAGGAAAGGTAAAATGAGATCTAGGGCAGGTAGTTGTTTAATTGAGATAGCCCCCTGGAAGAATAAGAGAGGTTATAGCTTTAGAGGTTTAGAAAGTTAAAGCATCAGTCCTGAGAACCTAGAAGGAAGTTCCTGTAGCTTACATTTATAATTGAGAAAGCTTTTCAGACACCCTCTCTTCTGCAAATAGTTTCCAGCTTTAAAGAGAACTTGGAATTTAAAAAATGTCCTCTCTTGGTTGCCTGGAACTGTGTAAAGTTCCTGGTGCTTGAAGTGCAGATGAAAACAAGTGAAGTGAATGCTTGTATCTGTAGTTAGATTACTGCAAGACTTCCAGTCTTTAGGCTCCCAGCCATTTTAACCAAACTTCACTTAAAAACACGCAGTGAGCTTCGCAGAAACATACAGCTTTGGAACACTAGATCAGATTGCTGCTGCTATTTCTGCCAAGAGACTGGTCATTTTCAGCAATCTCAGACTAACACAAATCCAGTGAACTATTCTATCACTGTATCAGAATCAACATTTAGAAGTTGCAGTACCTTCACCCTGGTACTGTTCATCACCTTACCACTCATAACATGGTTTGGAGGCTGGACTGCTGCTGTGTACTCTTGTTCTTAAGTGACTTTTACTCTCGTTTTGCTAATATCACAGAAATAGCAAACTCTAAGGAATGCAGAACTCAAATCATAGTGCATTTCTCATAAACATAAAGCATTAAGAACAAAAAAATTAAGTAAAGCAAAGATTGTCATATATAATTGAAATTTGTGTCATTTTCAACTGGCAAAGCCTAAAACAAGAGTGAAGATTGAAAAATAAAAGAAAGAAAACAACTCAAAGATGTTTCTTCAGTTGTTTATTACATTCTTAAAGCTGAAAAGAAAATACACAGAAGATATTCTTGGCATAAAAGAAGCCAAGTGCTTTGTTCCAAAACAGATTTCAGTTGGGTTTGTTTTTTGGTTTTCTTCACAGGTCAGTCTCGCACGTCTCTAGCACAGTTCAGTTAAGCTGGAAAGGTCTTCTCAGCATAGATGCCAGTCAAAATTTCCAGTGGCTAAAATTTCTAATTCTTATATTTTACCATCTGAAATTATAGTTCTCCAAAGTTAGCTTTAGAGCATATGAGAGCAGGAACCTCTAATATTAAAAAAAACCTTTTTCCTTATTATAATGCTTCATCGTTCCAGTCAGGTTCTCTTTGCAGAGTTGAACTTTCATAGATACCAAGAACTGTAATTCTGCAAAGAGATCGAGGTCTGTACAAACCTTGTGGTGAAGTGCTGAGTTGTCACTTGCTCCATATCCTTGTAGCAGATGATAGGAGTTCGTGCCTCCAC